CCCAAAAGTCTTAGTATAGTTTTAAGCTTAAAACTAAGACTTTGGGACACTCTATTCTCTTACCAACTAGCTCACTGGGGAAGTTGTGAGGCAATCCATTTATATGTAGATATATGTATATCTAGGTGTGACCTTGGGTTGGTCAATTAACCATAGTGGGCCTCAGTTTCCTCATTTGTAAAGTGAGCAATGATGGCAGCTTGGTACAGTGTGAAGTGTACAGGATTTGGAAACAGGCTATGCTATCAACAGTAAGAATACACAATCTTTGATCTAGAACTCTATAAGAGTATAATCCTGTGACCTCACAAAAAAAAAAAGCAGTCAGAGGACCTGGGTTCCAATGCCAGCTCTATGACTACTGTGTGATCTTGGGCACAATGCCTGACACATAGGAGGCACTTAATAAATGTTTTTTTTAATTGAATTGTTGAATTGGACTTAATCTGTCTGGGTCTCAGATCCTCATCTGTAAAATGGGTTGAATTAGCAAGAGTTCTTAACCTGGGGTCCAACTGTATTTCAAAATAATGGGTTTCCCTTGTAATCCTGTTTTTTTGTTCATTTAATAAAATACCCTTTTAAATAATTAATAATTGAATTAATATCAAGTTAATGATTATTAAATTATATAAAACATTTAATAACAATACCCTTTTATTTTATACATTTAAAACATTATTCTGAAATAGACTTCACCAGACTGACTGGGTCTATGATAGATAAAGGGGTCCAGAACCCCCGGACTGAATGATCTCTAAGCTCTCTTCCAGCTGTAAATCTAGGATGCTTTGATCATACCACATGTAAACAAGCTCAGCCTGAAATGTAGGCCTTTGAGCCAGCAGAGTGGAAAGACCGGCTGTGCCTTCCAGCCTGGGAGGGCTGGCTCCAACTGGGGCAATGGCAGTGACTGGTTTCAAAAGCCACTGTTCTTAGCAGGTTTGCCCATTTCAGGGTTTAGTAGAACCAGATTTACCTGCATGTCCCTCCCACGCCCGAGGCCAGATGAGCCCTGCATAGTATAATGGAAAGAGTACTGTCTAGGGCAGCAGTTCGGATCTGAACCTGCATTCAAATTCAGCCTTTGATGCTTACAATTTGAGTTTACTACTTTGACCTTGGGCAACTCCATCACATCTCTTTCCTGGTATCATCCCCCATAAAATGAGTGGGTTAATTGCATTGTGGTGAAGTGAACAGGGTGCTAGACCTGGGATCTGGAAGACCAAGGGTCATACACCACCTAAGGTACTAGCTGTGTGAGCTTGGGTAAATCACTTAATTTCTCTGAATCCTCACCTCTAATTCAATGACTTCTAAGGTCCCTCACAGCATATCCTACAGCATCAGGCAGAGAGGGATGGAATTGGAATAAGAAGATAGATAGATAGATAGATAGATAGATAGATAGATAGATAGATAGATATACACACATACATACATACATGCATACATGCAAATATACATATATACCCATGTACATACATATACATATATAGCATATTTACATATATCTCACCTACCATGCGCCAGGCACTGTGCTAAGCACTTTACAAATATTATCTCATTTGATAGGATTATCTAATGTATGATTCACAGATAACTCTATTGCAAAGGAAGCTTAGAGCAATTACAGATACGTGATAAACTACAATTGTGACAAGGACCTAAAAATGGGCACGTTTTTGATTCAGGCAGTGTGGTACAGTAGAGAGGACCATGAGCGTGACAACTCAGACCCCAGCTATGTCATTTACTTGCTACAAGAACTTGGATAATTAACTTAGCTATTTGGAGACTCCATTTCCTTATCTGCAAAATTATTATCTCCTTATTCATAAAAAAAATCATTCTTGTATTGCTTCCTTGCGAGGTTGCTGTGAGCATAAAATGAGAACATGAGGAAAATTAGAAAGAATCACAGACAAGAAGAAAGGAAGGGAATAATCATTCATTAAGCACCTAGTATCTTCCAGGCACTGTACCAAGTGCTTTATAAATATTATCTCATGTGAAAATATGTTTAATAGGAATGTATATGTAGAGCCTATATCAGATTGCATGCCATCTTGGGGAGGGAAGTGGAGAAAATTTAAAACTCAAGACCTTATGGAATTGATTGTTGAAAAGTAAAAATAAATTAATTAATAAAAAAATTATCTCATTTGATCAGACAAGCAGGACAGCTTTGGACATTACATGTTGAATTTATCATGTACTTAAAAGGAAAGGCAATGTAATAGAGTCACAATTTCACATATAACCCTTAACTTCTGTTCTACGCTATATGGAAGTGTTCATTTTATTTGGTATTGCTAAGTTCAGGGGGGAAAAAAGTGGAAACAAAAGAAAAAATGAGAGCTAATATATGCAAAATGCGTTTTTAAATTATCAAACACTATATGAATGACAGCTGGCATTGTTATTGTACCCTCTTGGGAGAGCTAATGAGAGGCATTCTAAATATATGAAATCAAGAGGACCTTGTAAGTCAGCGTTTAAAAATATTGATAATAACCCAGCCTGCCCTGCTAGGCAAAGTCTTATGCTGAAGGATCACTTGGAATATTCCAGAAATAATGATCTGCCTTGATGAGAAATGGAAGTAAAAAGACTCTTCTTGAATGCTCAGAGTCTGGGTCCAAGCCCTGAATCTGCCAATGTCTCATTGCCTCTCTAAAACATTCAGTGGCTTCCCTGTACCTCTATGATAAAATATAAACTGCTCAGTCAGGCGTTTAAAGACCTCTGGTCTTCCTTTGAGTCCTCATTTTGTCACTAGATCATAGATTTAAAACTTTAATGGAGGCCATCCAGTCCAGAGGAAACTGAGTCTCACCGAGGCTAAGTCACTCGCCCAAGGTCAAACACGTGGGTGAGTGTTCCAACTGGAAGCTGACTGCACGTCTTCTGGATCCAAACCTAGCTTTCTTTCCAATACATCCCTCTGTATTCTTTCTTCTGTTCATTCATAGAATCACAGACTTACAGAATGTTGAAGAAGGGGGGGACCTTAGAAATAATATAGTCTAACCCCTTTAGTTTACAGATAAGGAAACAGATTTTGAGAGAGATGAAACCTTGTAGATGATTCTCAATATGTGCTCACTCATAACAAAGATAACCCTAGCTCGGCCTTAACACGTTGCAGAATTGCGGTCTTGGAGCTGGAAGGGATCTCAAAGGCCTATCCTCTCCTTTTACAGATGAGAAAACGGAGGCCCAGAGAGATTAAGTGCTATATCACAGAAATATAACA